CACCAGCGCCCCCAACCCCAAAATAATCCTCAATTTGTTAAAAAAAGAGAAGGGTTTCCACAAAAAGTAAAAAGGGTTTAAAAAACGCCCAAAAATACAAAGCTCCCGGTGGGGGGTCCCCCCCACTCCCCCCCCCCCCCCCCTTTACCACGGTAGGGTATGAATTTGTGGGTAAGTCCGAGGGTTAATCGTTAAATAATTGCCCAGCTACTTGACACTGAACCGGATATTTTAGAAGAAACTGGAAATAGAGGCTTTAACAATGAAGTTTTTTTCGACATTTCCTGCGAACGTCAAGACGTCAGGTGACCAGGGCCTTGCCGTCAGGTTTGACGTTTGAGGTTCACGTCAGTACCGCTAGACGACGCTCCAGAGGTAAGAACTTTACCGCAAGGTTTTTTTTTTACGTTAAAACAACAAAAGCCCACGTTTGAGAAGAAATACAACTTTTTAGAACTCTGTTGTTTATTGGTTATCGAAATCGATTTCAAAAGGCAATTTCTCGGCTATAATAGGAGCAAGAAAGTGGATAAATGGAAGCAAACATGGCAGCCGCCACAACCTATCGTCAGCAAATCTTAAGTCCCAGCTATGGGAAGAGAGGTAAGGTGAAACCGTTATCCGCAAACCACAGGTTGTCGTTTGCAGTAAAATGATCAAATCTCGGTCTTAAGGTCTCTAATAGTAGTACCCTGAGCGCACGTCGACAATGAATCGAAAAATTTCTTATATCCCTGGGTGATCTTGGGAAAAAACTAATTACAGTGTCACTTTTCCCTCTTGAGAAACTTAAAAGAAGGTAGGCATCAAAAACTGTCAATTTTATTCTATTGTACGAATCGACAACAATTTCTATTTTCTATACCAGTCCTTCTCGATCATAGAAAAGACGTGATAATGTATAATATTCAAACTTTGCATTGAAACCACCAGGCTTCAACTCCTGAATGCACTTAAGTGTTGAACATTTTGACTTCATTTCTATGGTTACTACGAGTATAGAACATAGGAAAATTGTGAACACCCTTACCGAAAAAAGGTTCTTCGCTATTTCTCTTGCTGCGGCATAGCCTATAAGCAAAGAACACTATGACAAAACCCATTATTATACCACCTGTGGTAATGGAGAAAATGGCCACCAAGGGAGAGTTCTTGAATCCATGCTCCTGCGGAACTTTACCAAGTTCTGTAAAAATACATGTTTAAAAGAAAGTAAGGAAAAGGCAGAAGTTGTTGTTGTTTTTGGGCATCGAAAGACAGACTATTATAGTGAAGTTGTCACGCTATGACAAAACCCATTATTATACCACCTGTAGTAATGGAGGAAATGGTCACCAATGGAGAATTCTTGGATCCATGCTCCTGCGGAACTTCACCAGGTTCTGTAAAAATGCATGTTTAAAAGAAAGAAAGGAAAAGGCAGAAGTTGTTGTTGTTTTTGGTCATCGAAAGACAAAAACTATTATAGTGAAGTTGTCGTAGTAGATATTTTAAATAAAATGATGGTGATGATGATGATGATAATGATGTTAATGATGATGGTGATGATAATAATAACGGAACCATTGTCGCTAGGTTTCGCTCGTTTGATTCCAATGTTTTTATAGATTTCAAAATTAATACCAAAAAATCTTCCTACAGCTGCTAAAATAAGTTAGATATACTTCACCAAAGAAATACTTACAGTACTACCAGAAGATGCAAAAACACGTAAAAACTGACAATTTAATGTTCTCACATTTCAACGACCTCGATCGTGATTTCAAAATGATTTCGAGCCTTGTATTTTAACATAAAGCAAGCTAAACTAGGCAACAACTACTCAATACTGTATCTAAAAAGATGTAAAATACCTGATGCTTCTTCCTTGGCCGGGAGGAGCAGGCAGATTTTTGTTGCCTCGACCAAAACATCTTTATTGAATTTCATCCCACAGGAATAATAACAACCCAAATCCTGCATGCTGACGTTAAAGAAATCAAGCCTGAGGAGTTTTCTTTTTGTGTTAGGCAAACTGGGATGATTGCGCGGTATGTCATCTCTCATTTTGTAATCCTTAGAACTGTCTGTAATTAATGTGTGGTTGACTTTCCAGTAAATAAATGGTGATGTATTCGTAAGGGCATTAGGATAGATGACTGTGCATGATAGTGTCGCAGAAGTATGAAGCTTTACAGAAACGTTCTTTGGCTGAACGGAAGGGAAAGAACCTGCGAAGAGATTTAAACTTTTCTGAGTGAGATCTGACCGTGATTGATTTGCTTGTTAATCATCCCATTTATCAGAAAATTAAAACCGAAAGTCGTTGTATGATCTTATATACGTAAATAAGCTATTTGGTACCGCACATTGACTTTATCCAAAAATATCACTACAATCGTGAGCTTTTGCCAAGATTAAAAAAACGTTTTACATAATTTATGAAGACCAACTAAGCAAATTTTTTTTTAGGGACCAACAAGGTAAAGACTCTACATCTAAGTGCAAAAGACGTTTTTGAAAAAATCGTTTTTTGATAAAATCATTATTTTATTTTATTTTTTTGTAATAAAAAGAAAAATATCCTACCTTTTTTTAAGACATGCAGCTTTGATTGCTTTTCTGTAAATCCCTGAGTGGTGTTTATTCCACACAAGTATTCCCCCTCGTCAGCCTTCGAAAGGTTGAGTATGGTCAGCACAATCTTAACCGGGCCGTTGTCCAGACCTCTCTTAGATATCATGGTCCTTGCTGATTGATTAACGTAATGATTTTTGAATTTCCAGTAAACATAAGCACTGTCCTCATTACATTTATTCGGTTTGCAAGTGCATTCTAATGTGGTGTTCTTGCCTTCCAATGCTACAGCAGCAAACTGGTCCAAATCATTGGGTAGGAAGATTTCTTCTGTGACCACTACCAAGAAATTAATCAGATAAGAAAATCGTGTATCTTTACAACGCCAGCACTCCCCCTTTTCCTTCTCGTCTTAAAGGGATCGGACTATGTCACGAGGGTATTGCTGTTCTATGTTAATTCCGTGCTGATGTCATTACTTAGACCCATTTAATCAGCGAGCAGTGTTAACCTTGATATTTTTAATTGTTGCTTTTTTACAGGCTTAGCATACAAACGTGAAAAAAGTTGGGCTAATTTTTCGGCCATGTTTCAATCCATTGCTGATCCTTGCAATCCGTTGCAAAAGACGACAGGAAACAGTTTCTCTGCCTAAAGATAGTCTTAAATAGCAAAACTGGGCCATTATTTTTGTAATGCAGCTGATATGAAGGCACATTTTAGCTTTTTTAAAAGATGGAGTAGTTATAACATGGCCCTTTTAAAAACAGTCATAATTTAAGAAGCTAGTCTCTGGACATCAACAACCCTCCTCCCTAGTTCAGCATAAGGAGCTGTACTCGTCTGTTACGTTACGCTGAGAGAATGGCATTAATTTCTGCTCAACGGTCCAACACAAGGTTCATTTATTCTCTCTTCTTCTTAAGAAAACTTGTTCGTTCCACGTTCCTTACAAAATAATTATGAACGGCAAATCTTTACTTACGTTTTATCATGATGTTGATATCTTGTGTGGAGGTACCAAACAGGTTGTGGGCGCGACATGTGTAGGTCCCATGATGGTGATTTGAAGCTATAATTAACCTCATACTTAGCGTGTTAACATTTGGCCCTCTACTGGAGGGATAGATGGCGTATGAGTTATGGTAATAACCATGATGAATCTCTACTCCATTTTTCCACCAGGAAAGACGAGGTGCGGGCCATCCACTTGCTTTACAAACCACCTCTGTGGAAAGTCCTTTTTCCACTTTTTTAACGGAAGGCAAGGCCTGTAAGGTCGGTTTACCTTAAAAAATTATAATAAATTTATCAATGAAATAAAAAAAAGCCCATGTGGTGCATCCTTTGAAGCGGGATTTAATGTCAGGAAAGAATAGGAAGAAAAAAAGAAGCCGACGGGGAAGAACAGAAGGGAAGAACTGCGCAGTTCTATGAACTCGGTCTGGTTTAACAATATTATTATTGATGATAATGCATAACAGCCTGCCATTCGAAATATTTTTAAGTCTTTATCAAGTTTATCTTCATGGAGCTGACTTCCTTGAAAACTATAGACTTTCTCGACACGGTTTCAGTATGAAAACATTTCTTTTGTAGGTGCTTATCAAAAAGGAGTAGATAAATTCCAACAAGCAATATCTTTTTCTTCCGTTCAGTTTTAGTAAGAAATTTAGCTACTCCGCCTTTGAATTAATAGAAGATCATCTCGGCCCATATCATATGAAAGCCGAATTCAATTCTAAATATTTCTAAGTTCTTAAAAACCCTACTTCCTCCTACCCTTTATCATTGCACATCATACTCCTCAAAAAGTATCACTCGACATCCACCGAGTAATATGAATTGCGTATTTGTGCATTTTTTCTAGAAATTCTTTTTGGATCAATTTAGGTTTCTAAGGAGACTGACCACCCACCCCTCCCCTATGTCAACATTATCACTTACTTCTCACTGAGGGCCGAAATGTTGGCTTAGGGCAGTTTCCCAGAAACCTAGATTGATCCTTCGCTGGCGCGCTGCGCTGCGCGCCGCTGCCTGGACTAAGTTCCTATTATTGGCAATAACTCAACGTCTCGATTGTATATTGACTGTACACCTTCCAACTTTGCAAAAGATCTAGAAGAGAGGCTGGTTATAAAGAACTAGCCGGGGGATTTGAGCTTATCATCCAGAAACTGCGAAATTTTTTTAATGAAGATTACTGCAATTTATCTTCAAATTTCAACTTACTTGGATTAGCCGAGCATGAATACAAGTTATGACCTCGCTTTGCGGTACACTTGAACTTCCCAATAACCTGGTCATGGGAACTGCTGTTAATAGGTACTGCTGACCAAGTTTTGTTGAAATCTTCTTTTATATGTCGTCCATTTCTCGTCCAGTTTACAGCTTCGACAGTGAGACCACTAAAGGAGCAGTTGAGAGCTTCATTGGCGATGCTCGTCCTTATTGGAGTGATGACGCAACCAAAGTTGTATTCTGACAAACAAATCTTTGCGAAAACTGAAATGAAGCAGAAGTTAGAATTACTATACACATCTTTAAATAAACCAAGTACGAATCCGCGTGTCTCTGTACTAACATTACACCCCAATATGCGGAGAGTAGTGAAGGGGAAAATAGTTCCTGGAACCTACAGTAGGCTACTCAGCGAGCTTGAGTTTTCTGTTTCTTTGTAAGTTAAGCTCCTGAAAAAAATTGGCTGGAAAGTGGCATATTTTCGCCAGTAAAATTTACATTTAACGCGTGTACGTACGTAAACTTATAAGACAATGAAAATCCACCCTTAAGCAGAAAATTCTGGCACGTCAAACTTTTTAGGGAAATTAAAATGCAATCACCTGACTGACTAAAACTGCGTATTAATGACTCTCGCATTTTGACAGCTCTGTTAACTGAGAAGCACACAGGTGCATGCCACAGTAACACATCAGTTTAATAAATTTCAAGTACATGTTTCCTTCCCTTATTCTATATTAAAGACACCCAAAAAAGCCAAAACCCTTAGTGCTATCTATATTTAACGCAAATGAAAAATTAGCACAAGGGTTTTGCACACATTTAAATGCATGCAGAACTGTCCTCCAAAAAACTAACTGCTCGCGTTTCCAAAGACTGGTGTCAATTACAGCAGAAATTTCTCAAACATTTGCAAAGCCGTCACAAACTCGAACTTGGATTTTTAATGCCGCCGAACAAAATTTTGAAATCGAGATTAATGTGTGGTGTGTCATTTACAATTATTGTTATACGAAAGTTTTCACTGACTTCTCCATCTTTCATTTTCCATGTATCATAACCTGTGTAACATGACGATCATTGACTTCCAAAATGGTCGATCGTTTTAAACTCACGTGAAATATTCCCATCGTAAACGTTTTATAACATCATCTTAGTTTCTACTGTAAAAGAAAAATACTCCAAGTAATAGATAACCGCGCGATAGAGCTTTATTGCAGTGAAGGTTAGTTATCTTTTCCTTTAGCATCCTTATAACTGCTCGCGTATCGGAAGACAGGTGTCAATTATAGCAGAAATTTGTCAAACATTTGCGAAGCCCTGACAAACTCGAACATGGATTGCTAATGCCGGCGAACAAAATGTTGTAATCGAGATTAATGTGTGGTGTGGCATTTACAATCATTGTTATACAAAAGTTTTCACTGAACTCTCCATCTTTCAGTTTCCATGTATCATAACCTGTGTAAAATGACGATCACTGACTTCCAAAATGGTCGATCGTTTTGACCTCACGTGAACTATTCCCATCGTAAACATTTTACAACGTCATCTTAGTTTCTTCTGTAAAAGAAAAAATGCTCCTAGTAATATATACTTGCGCGATCGAGGTTTACTGTAGTGAAGGTTATCTTTTCCTTTAGCGTGCTTATAACTGCTCGCGTATCGGAAGACAGGTGTCAATTATAGCAGAAATTTGTCAAACATTTGCGAAGCCCTGACAAACTCGAACATGGATTGCTAATGCCGGCGAACAAAATTTTGTAATTGAGATTAATGTGTGGTGTGTCATTTACAATTATTGTTATACGAAAGTTTTCACTGAACTCTCCATCTTTCAGTTTCCATGTATCATAACCTGTGTAACATGACGATCACTGACTTCCAAAATGGTCGATCGTTTTAACCTGACGTAAAATATTCCCATCGTAAACGTTTTATAACATCATCTTAGTTTCTACTGTAAAAGAAAAATACTCCAAGTAATATATAACCGCGCGATCGAGCTTTATTGTAGCAGAGGTTAAGTTTTCCTTTAGCATGCTTATAACTGCTCGCGTTTCGAAAGACTGATGTCAGTTATAGAAGAAATTTCTCAAACATTTGCGAAGCCCTGACAAACTCGAACTTGGATTGCTAATGCCGGCGAACAAAATTTTGTAATCGAGATTAATGTGTGGTGTGGCATTTACAATTATTGTTATACGAAAGTTTTCACTGAACTCTCCATCTTTCAGTTTCCATGTATCATAACCAGTGTAACATGACGATCACTGACTTCCAAAATGGTCGATCGTTTTGACCTCACGTGAAATATTCCCATCGTAAACGTTTTTCATCATCTTAGTTTCTACTGTGAAAGAAAAATACTCCAAGTAATATATACCCGCGCGATCGAGCTTTATTGTAATGAAGGTTAAGATTTCCTTTAGCATGCTTATAACTGCTCGCGTTTCGAAAGACTGGTGTCAATTATAGAAGAAATTTCTCAAACATTTGCGAAGCCCTGACAAACTCGAACTTGGATTGCTAATGCCGGCGAACAAAATTTTGTAATCGAGATTAATGTGTGGTGTGGCATTTACAATTACTGTTATACGAAAGTTTTCACTGGACTCTATCTTTCAGTTTCCATGTATCATAACCAGTGTAACATGACGATCAATGACTTCCAAAATGATCGATCGTTTTGACCTCACGTGAAATATTCCCATCGTAAACGTTTTACAACATCATCTTAGTTTCTTCTGTAAAAGAAAAATACTCCAAGTAATATATACTTGCGTGATCGAGGTTTATTGTAGTGAAGATTAACTTTTTCTTTAGCATGCTTATAACGTCCATAGTGTCGACTAAAAAATAAACACGAATATGCTAATTAAACAAATTTTCCTTTCCTTTAATTGAAGACAGCAGAAAAAGTGAGTTGTGATGAAATAAGTTTTGGAATCAATCTAACCTCTTTTTACCCCCTTTAAACAGCAAAATATTAACTAATACAAGAAGACTTACCCGCAAAAATCGTCCATAGACTTCCAATACGAGACATCTTTTGTAGTTACAAATATACTTTGCGTAGGAACAAATAAATTGTAGACGCAGAAGGTTTTTTCCTTAGGTAGAAGATTTCCGTGGAGTTAAACTCTGAAGCTTTTCTTTTTTTTCAGTAAAGGGGATCCGTCATACACCTCTCGTGTTGGCGACAGGAATTCATATCGCAAGGAGATTGCTGTTATGGAAACGATTGTCCAATTGCAGTTCCTCTTCTTCAATGACTTTGTATTACCCTGGGTAGTAACCAATCAGAGCGCAGCAAAGACAATATCTATTGTTTTAGCTTGTCACATGACCTAATTTGCATGTGCGACGTCATCATTTTTTCACGTGAGCTCAAATGGGCCAATCAGAAAGCAGCAACCCCCAACTACTCCCCAGGTCACCGGAAGGGACAGGACGGCGCGACCGGAAGTCGATAAAAGGACTATATTTGGAAGAGAAATCACTTTTTTGGTTTAAGCAATCTCGAATGCATACCCTAAGTACATCCGGGACATGTGTGATGTCACGCCCTCCATTTATTTACAAGTCCAATAAAAGGTCTGCTTCTGCCCTGATTTTTTCGTAACCACAGGGATAACTAGATTTAGTGTCCATGTTGATGACACGTTTATCAAAGACTAAGCCATATTGTTTTATGCGTGGAACCACTTTGATACGTTTTTGTTCTAAATCTCTTTGAAAATAATAAGACGTCACCACATTGGTGGTGCGGAGATGGTCCAGTAGGTTTTTCCAATTCCAAGATGTTGTTTTTTATGGTCTGAGAATTTAGGACAGCTGCACCGCGAACATTTAGGGTGAATCCTCGGACCTTGCAGACCACTTTGCCTTGTCGTGTAGTGTACCCATAATTTTTGGCACCGCCGGAAACAAACTCGGTGATGACGTCACCATCTAATTCATCGGTCATGTCCCCGAGAAAATAGCCCGTGTCGATGGAACGTTGATCTGGACACCATTTATAGACGACACTGTCCGTCTCGTAATAAAGCACTTGCTCCTGGAGAGTGTCTAGAGACTCGTAGAGTTTCAACCTGGCGTGACAAGTGGTGAAGGCCGCCACAAAGATATTGGTCTTGGTGCCTTTCACCACATTGTCATGTACACTGGTGTAGACAGCCTCCAAGATGTCGTCGGTGCACAATCGGAAAGTGCTGATGTTGAGGGCAAAATCAGACACTCGACTAAACAGATGAGATGGGTCTTTGACGGTGACGGTGGTTGGCTTCTTGAAACCATGAGAAGGGCAGGGATGAAAACATGAAAAAAGAAAAAATGGAACAGGTACCTGTTGAGCATTAACTTGGCCGTGGCCTTGCTTCCGGGATTTTTGGCAATATGGCTGATGTCCAGTCGGATACCCTCCCGCTCCTGGTAGCGAAGAATGTACTCTAATCGTTTTTGTTCCACGGTTTGACACCAAGTAGGCCACCCAGTCGATTCTTGTTTTAACTTCAACCACGTGTTGACGTAATCAGCAAAGAGACCCGTCCGACGTTAATCTTCGGGAAAATGCCAGACCTCATGGATTCTGACGAGGGTGTAGCCCTTATCTACGGCTTTGACCAGCTCGGTGGTGCAACAGGTACCGCGTAGCATCCGATCAACGTCCGAGTGATGGCAGTAATGATTGCGATGCAGCATGGGTTTGGCCTGCTCCTCCTGGACACAGGTACGACACAGAGGAAAGATGAGTTTGTTACCGCTACGCACGGGCAAGACAGGGTGAAACAAGCCGGCGGGTGGAAGAATGTCGATGGTGGCGATACCAAAATACGACCCCAGGGATTGATCGACAGGTTGAATGATGATCTGCGGATGACCGATGGGGTAAGGGCAGTTCTTATTGACCCACTGCTAAAGGGAGGTGACATCCACGTAGCGTATTTCCTCGCCCACCCCGGCCACGGCATGCAGAGCCACCGCGCCTGTTCTTCCGCCAAAAAAGGCCTCGCGGGGCTCCAGGGGTGGTGCGAGATCGAACGAGCGAAGAAACTGAGAAACGGCAGGGTCATTTTCTATCAGACGGTCCCACTGACACTCCCACATTTCTATTACACTGTAACCAGCTCTGAGCAGGGCCATGCATTTGTTCAGAGTGGCTTGATAAAGTTCCTCCACGGTTCGATCAGGAGTGGCATAATGTTTGGCGTCTCTCCTGGGAAAACAGGTGGGACATGCATGGTAAATACACCCGTAGAACTCGTAAACAGTGCGTGTGAGGGCATCGTACCCATCAACGAAATAAGACGTGACAGCAGTTCGCAC